AAGCTCGGAGTGCTAGCTAGTTCGTTGTCGAGCTTTGCGCTAATTCAATATGGCTGCTCTCATGAAAAAATTACTTTCTGTACAAAGTACTAAAAATGGAATTAGTTTTCGAAAAATAAACGGCAGAAAGTATTTTTATTGGTAAATTTCAATTATTTGTTGTGCAAAATGTTTACAATGATCTTTTTTTCATTGTAAGGTTCAATAGCTTTGATGACTTTTTTCATAAACAGAGTTAATTAATGTGAAAAAAATTAAGTTTGATTCATTGTTTATGATTAAAAGTGAAATTTACCTAATACGCATTTGGAATCTTCAGAAATGTTATGTTCAGAGCATTAAATAAATCGTAAAGAAATGAACAGCATTAATAATAATCCAAAATTACATAAGTTTGTATACTTGAATGAATTTTCACTTACATATGGGAAATGACTTCTCAAGAAATTGTATCATTTGAATATCATTTTTTCATTACAAACTAAACTTATATGATGAAAGAGTAATACTTATTTCTATTGAAATAGGCTACTGCTTCTTCAGTTGATGTCTGAATAGCCTATGCTTTCATCAATAGAGCATCTAATTCCAGGAAAACCAGATTGGGTATAAAAAATTCCATTATTCTTACATCATCCTGCTGTGTGATGGTCAAGAGATCATTTTCATTTTCATTTAACATTAACTTGTAAGAAAGAATTTTATTTAAAATATTCCACGCAGTCCATCTAAACATATTAAAACGATCGCCAATACCCTTAGAGGAAAGAAAGAAAGAAAAAAGTGTTTTGTATTTAATATCAATTATTTGTTAATTTTGAACTCAGTTTAGTTACACCACAACAAAACAACATCACATCCATTCACTGGGTAAAACAATTGCTTTAAATATGTATTATATGCATGTATAATCTACCATTCTCTTATAAACTGCATCTAATTTCATATATTACTTTGTATAAACAAACCTGAACGATTCTTGATTTGCCAATGTCCATAGACAGCATAAAAGCTGCTTTTGAGGAGACACAGGTCGTCTTCCAGAGAAGTAATTTTTCAGTGTCTATAATTGGGCTTATTTTTTAGAGGAGAATTTCAAAACATTCTCTTGTAAGTCTAAGGTTGTTTAAAATAGGTTGGCTTATAAAAAGGTAGAGTCTCTTCAATAAAAGTTTCTATCTTTTTTATTTTACCTTACTTTTCTTTTTTCATTTTTCAACAATTATATCCACAATAAAATCATCCTCGTCCAATTCATAATCAAGTAGTTATATCTGTAACGTAACATTTAAAATAGCAGCTTTGACAATATTATTTGCAGAAAACCGCCATATTTCTTGTTAGTGTTCGCATTTACTTTCGAACTGGACATGTAAGCACAAATACACATGCTAATGATGTCACTTCTGGTGTTCGGAAGTAGCACTATTAGCTCAGAAGTAAATGCACCCCATATAACAAGGTAGTTAGGTTCTGAAAAAGTGTAGTGTTATGTGAATCTGTGTTATACAAAACAAAGTACTTAAAACTTAAAAAGAGATAAAAAATTTAAAAACTGAAAACAGTGTCACCTACTTAATTAACTATTTTTTTTAAGTGATTAATTTGAGTATGATGCTTTGTTGCATGTCAAATTATGCTTTCATCCAATTGCACTGACATTGATACAGTATTTAAAAATTACAATGCTTGATCCTCTTTCCCAAAGGGGAAATGCCATTTTCTATAGAATATATTTATTACAGTCAGTCTTTACACTATAATTTCATTTAGCTTGTTTGCTTTGTTTTTCCTCTATTAAACTAAATAATGAAATTATTACATTATAAATTTACTTTCTATCTGCAACCTGTTTTTATGCAGGTGTTCCTAATGTAGTGACTGTTTAATGTATAATCATACAGCTTAACATGGAGACCTCGTGGACTTTGGATGTTCCAGTCAACATGGCAACAGTTAACTTATATGATATACTATTAAATACTAGAATATTTCAATTTTTTTATTTTAACTAATTATAAAAACAAAATTGAAATTTGAAACATTTTATATTTAAAAAATGTAAATTTTTTATTAATGTATTAGATATACTGAAGATTAAATAAAAAGCATACCTCTTTCTTCAATAGCAGATCTAGGATTTATAGGTTGGGAGTGTGTTTCATTATCATCATTATCTATACTTTCAGGTGTTTTATCATTGGATGAATTTTCTATATCAGTAGGAACTTGTGGCCGCATAGATACACGAACTGGAAGATTCAATGTTGTAGGCCTGGGTAAACGAGCTGGTTGCACAGGAGTATTTGTTTCATCAAAGGATCCATTTCTCAAAACTGTAGTGGAGTTCATTTCATCAATCTGATTTGTTAAATTTCCATTTTTGTCATAAGTCTGGCAGATTTCTCCACTTTCATCTATACATAATGACTTTTCTGATATATTTTTGTCATTATCTATAATTTTTAATGATGAAATAGAATCTTCTGAAAATTTCTGATCAAAATTATCATGAGTAATTTCAATATTAGACATATTAGCAGGAGATAATTCTGTATTACATAATTCTTTATCAAATTGTTCATTACAAAATGATTCTGTATTTTCAAATGTATTAGGAACCATAAATTTTGGTTTTGCTCCCATTTCTTCTTTATGAAGCAAATCTTTATTTTCACTTGATGTATCTTTAATTTCTGAAAAATTCTCATTTTCAATCTCCTCTGTTGATTTTTTGCAAGGACTAGATACTTCTAAATTCACTTGTGATTTTTCTCTTATTTCTTCATTTGATATACATTCAAATTTACTTTCTTTAAACAAGGTTAAATCACATGATTCTATTACCTGATCATTATTATTTTCTGAAGATTCCATAGATGAATCCATCTTTAGATTTTCTTTCTCAGAATTATCTTCATTTAAAATATCTTTAAGATAACAATCTACTTCTTCAATATCAATATCATCTTCATAATCTGCTTCAACATCCTTAAATCCAATTGTTTTGGGAGAAATATTATTTTTTTCTGTATTATTAGATTTCATATCTAAATTATTATTTATTATATTATTTTCATTTAATTCCCTATCTTGTGTTACATTTGAAGAAGAGATTTGTGTTTCATCTTCATTCAAATGTAATTGAGGTTTTTCCACAGATGCTACAGATTCCACAAGTTCTAATGTTTTGCATTTACAATCAATCTTTCTCTCTTTAGCATCATCATCATCATCATCATCATCATCAATTTTTTCAGCTTCATTTTTTTTAGATTCAATTGCATCCACATTACAACATTTTTCTTCATATTCTTCGGTACAAGTTTCTGAAATGTTTTCTTCTAGATTATCTACAGAATCATTAAAATTTGTATCTACAGATTTACAGTTCTGATTTTCATTGTTCAACATGCAGTTTTCTTCATTATCATTATTTGAATTTTGCATATTTTCATTTTGGTCATTCTCGGGTTTGAAATGTTCAGTAGAAAATGAAGGCAAAAGTTGAATTTTAATATCTGAAGAAGAAAAACTATCATTGTTATCATTAGTTGTATTTTGAACAGATATGCATAACATTTCTTCATTTTGAACATAGCCATTTGTAAAATATTTGTCAGACTCCTTCGTGCTGTCAGAAATATTATTTATTGAAGAATCTTTCAAATCTTTAGTCCATCTATTAAAATCAGAAAAACTATCATTGCTAAAATGTGTTTTTTCTGAATTATTCTGGAATGGTTTTGTTTTAATATCAACCTGAGACAAACTATTATGATGATGAATGGGTAGAGAAAGTAATGTGGATGGTTTCAAAGCAGAAGCAAAGTCAGCTTCAGATAAGTCTAATTTTTCTGTGTGATCTTTGTATAGCTGTTGATAGTCACACACATTATGTGAAATGTAGAGTCTATTTTCAAAATTGATATTTTGCACACATTCTAAATTATTTTTTAACACTAAATCATCTTTAATAGTTGCTTTTTGATCCAATTGCACTGCCCTATCTGAAAACAAAATGTAATTCATAAAATAACTTTTGATTTTGCTAAATAAAATTAATAACTTTATAACTAAACTATAATACCTTCACTTTCTTCAAAATCATCCAATACCTTATCAAGATCAATAGCAAATTTATCCATCTGACTTTATAATTTTCTATAAAATAAAAAATAAACTCTATAATACTTATATATTTTATGAAATCATTTCTTAAATTTAATTTATCATTATAAATTAAATTTAAAAACTTAATAATAATAAAAACAAACAAATATATGCAAGAACATTACATTATAATATCTATCCATCATGATGTTATGTCATAGTTATATACATCAAGTTGAGTTATGATNATTTGTGTTAATTTCAATAAAATTAGTGAAATTTGCATAAAATAATCTAAAAGTAATAGAATACATGTATAATTTTTTTAAAAATCTTCATTAAATGATATTTTTATATTCTAAAAAGATTTAAAATATATAATTACTTTAGCTATTAAATGTTATTTAAGCTCATAAACTATCAATTGCTTTTTAATTTCATCCTCGTAAAAGTTTTGTCAAGTAGTATAACCTCTTAATGATGGACATCGATCAGGAGTGACAAGTTTGTCCTTATTTTGAGGTGTTTAATGTTTCTCAACATTGTAAATCATTACATAAAAGGCAATAAGAATAAATGTCTTTTATTCATATCCAAAATGCTAAAATGCTTGTTAATTAAATGTGTCTGTTATTTAGAAGTGTCCTTTATGAATAGTTTTATTCTATATGCACTTGACAGCAGTTTTGGGTTTGGCATACAATTTTTACTGTGACAAATTTTAGTACAGCATAATTCTTAATTGCAGATCATTCAAACAATATAAACTCAATATATTTATGTAGTAGCAAAAATGTTGGAAAACAGGATGTTTATTTTGACATTCAGCTTTTTTAATTGTTATAAAAAACCAGTATAATAAAAATTATTTGATTGNCTAAACTCACAAAAACTACATAACTATGTTACAGAATAAAGTCTCTCAGCTTGCAAAAGCATGGAGGAAGTTTTCCTCTTAAAACTTTATAACTTCTCAGAACAATCCATTATCAATACATAAGGAAATCTTTGATTTTCTTTCAATTTAAATATTTTAATAATTGATTTGAAAATTTTGAGAAACAAACAAATTTATTATTTAAGAATTATACTTAAACAAGATAAAAAATTTTTTGAATTGTGTTTAAAAAGTAAGACTTAAAATTTTAAAACTTATAAGTTTTCAAAAATTAAGTCATTAAAATTATCATAAAGTATTAAAACAAACTGTTTAAAAAGCTTAAAAGCATAATATATAAATCAATATAATGTAGGTCTATATATAAAATCCAATTTGAAACAACAAAAAACACTAAACCCAAGTTATTGTTAAATTAGTCACAAGTAAACTGGCCAAAAAATTTCCAATATACTTTGAAAAAATATATATCATTTTTAAAACAATGTACAAAATGAAGATATGAGACAATATATAAAAAAAGTTAAAGAAAGTACAGATTTTTCCAATCTTGATAACATATATCAAAATAGGTCATGATATCATATGACTAAAGCTAGGACATCTAGGCACCAAAAATATTGTATTATAATTGTTATAACTATTTATATGATTTTCAATGTCTAGATGTCCTATCTCTACATACAATTTACTTTATATATATATATATTCATGCACACAAATATAGCTTACATACATACAGTATAAGAGCCTAAGTGTTTATTTTAACAAATTCTAATTGATTATTATAACTACTCATGAATAAATTTATCAGCATTAAACTAAGTTCAAGGAACTAACATTTCAAATCATTTTCAGTGACAATCATCAGGTTACAAATTACTTACAAAATTTAAATTAAAGAAATTCTTTCAATAAATACAATGATTTTACATTATAATAAATTTAGTATTCTTGAGTATATTATTTGCACAGATTTTCAAAGTATTATACAAACACACAAGGAAAACAGTATTAATTATAAATTTTATTTTCATTTATATTTTATATGTGACTCCTCATAAAATAATAATAATGTTATAACATTATAACATAATAAAACAATACAGGTAGCCCTCGGTTTACGCCGGTTCACAATAATGCTGCTGCACAATTCGCGATTTTGCTGTGTAATTCCCCGATTTTCCCTATGCTAGATTTGACCAATCCTAGAGAGACACGAGTCCACTACGACACCACGTATAATGGCAGAATTGTGGCTCGTTGGGATTGGTCAGATCTAGACCAATAGAGAACGTTCCATTTGAATGAGCTGCAGACCCAACATAGAGCTAAGAACGGCGGATCCGCCATAGAGCTACAATAGAGCGGAGATGCGGATTGGTCAAGCGCCAGCCCATCATAGCACATATATAGATCAGTTTCGGCGGGAAACTTTGAGTTTGCTTTGGTCTCACTAAGAAGTCGTTTCATCTTGCTAACGGAATGTGGATATCATCTGGCTTAATTAATTAAGAAGGCATCGTTTGGCCTACAAGGAGTGGATTCGTCTTGACATCGACAAGTTGTGTTTCGTAGAAGAGCCATCTCATCGTGAGGTGTTTTACTGAACGGACTTTTACAATACAAGAACATTAGTAAGCATAGGCGCTCTGGGTTTAGACGCCATTTATTGGACATCAATTAATTTTTAACTTGACTCCACGTATACAAGAATAAAGGAAGGCTATTATGTCAGATAAAAGAAGTGCACTAGAGTTAACTAAACATGTTAAGAAGGTGTGGCAATCAATCTCCTTAGAAACAAAAATGGAAGTTATTCGATGAATGGAAAATGGACAAACACACCCTAATGTCTGTAGATCGTTGAACTTACCTCCATCGACTGTTACTACCATTATGAAAAAAGCAGATAAAATTAAACACTGCTTAACAGTCTATAGCAGTAAATGTAAAACATGTAAGTTAAAGTAGGGGTAAAATTTTTGAAAAAATAGAAAATTTGTTATCATTATGGGTAGATGGTGCAAATCAAAAAAACATTCCCTTGACTCAAGCTGCTATAACTGAAAAAGCAAAATCAATTTTTGATAATCTTAAAGAGACAGATGGAGAGAAGAAACTTTTTTGGGAAGCAAGGGTTGGTTTATGAGATTTAAATCCCGAAGTAACTGTCGTAGTTTAAAATTATGTGGTGAAGCAGCAAGTGCAGATGTTGCGGCGGCGGCTGCTTTTCCTAAGGAATTTCAGGATTATGTAGAACAAGGTAACTATTCTCCTGACCTAACTTTCAATGTTGACGAGACTGGGCTTTGTTGGAAAAAGTTACTAGCACGAAATTTTATTTCTCATGAAGAACGTTCCACTCCAGGTTTTAAAGTTGCGAAAGACAGATTAACTCTTTTGTTGGGAGCCAATGTTTCAGAAACTTTGAAACTTAAACCGATGTTAGTGTATCATTCCCAGACACCACATGCATTAAAGGGTCTAAATAAAGATATGTTGCCAGTTTATTGGAAATGGAGCAAGAAAGCTTGGGTCACACAAGATATTTTTACAGATTGGTACACAAATTATTTTTGCCCTACTGTGCTTCGCTTTTGTGAAGAAAATAAATTACCATCCAATTTTGTCGTGAGTTTTATTTATTTATCTATTTCTATAATTAAAGATGGATACTTTTTTTCCAAAAAATGTAAGAAATTTGAAACTAAAATTTTTAAATAAAAACATTTTACTTTATTTTATGTTAAAATACATTTTAAAAATTAAATTTATATGTATTTTGTATTATATTGTATTAATAAACAAAATTATTAGCTTATTTTTCANATCTGTTTTGATTAGAATGAAATAGTTGCCACTATTACTTATGTAGAACCTAACCCTATACCTCACTGTAAATATGGGTTCGTTTTACGCCGATTCGATTTGCACTGGCTTTTGTAGGAACAGAACTGTGGCATAAACCAAGGGCTACCTGTATAATACAGACTATCCTTATATATTATGATATTTTTTGGTCATCTAAAGAAAATTTCTTTACAGATTATTGCTATTAATTCAATATTTCAATTGTGACAATGAGATAAATTTATAGTGTAAAATTTCCAAATTATTTAGCAGATATTTGTTTACTAGATTTCAAGCATCAATAGGAGATTGGAAAGACTTCAAACCAAAAAAATACATCCACCAAGAAGCCTTAATTAATTTCTAGTAATATTTAATGTGAAAAATTTGAACTAACATTTTTAATGTGCACACAGAGATCATCTTCAGATTAAAATATTCTAAGATAGAATATGAGAATAGAACAATGGCACTTTTTGAAAATTAAAAATGTTTGAACACATAAAATAAATAAAATAAATAAATAAATACAAAGTATAGGTATGATTAAAAATGAAAAAACAATAATAAAAACAAACAAATATATGCAAGAACATTACATTATAATATCTATCCATCATGATGTTATGTCATAGTTATATACATCAAGTTGAGTTATGATGAATAAGATTTTTGTTCATGTTGGTCATGTAGGTATAGCTATGTGTAAGGTAATTGTTATTTGTCTTTAAAATTAATGCAATGACCCTTTGTCTCAGATTAAATATCTCTAAAGCTTCCAGTATCCTGATGGAATCAGAATATTTGGATCATTTGATGATGGAAGCCTTGTTAAGATGGGTGTGCATGTCATTACCAGATGCATATATAATTAGGGCAGTGTTGTGTTTCTTTTTTATCAATATAATGTTTGTGTTCTGTTAATCTTGTTATGAATAACTAGGTGGTTGAACTGATGTATTCAAGATTGCAACCATCAGTCATACCTCAACATAATTTTGTATATCCCTGGTAGCTAAGATTATTAGTCTCACCCTTTTCCATTCCTAGGATGTTAAAAATGGTTGGATTGTATCTGAAAGTTAATTTTGTCTCTTTTTAACAAGCCATTTCCTTGTATATTATCAATATTAGCATATTATAATTATAATGTAGGATAATACATCATGTGTTGTGCATATTTATATGGTGACTAGCAGATGAGCCTGGTGTTGCTCAAACAAAAACAACACCAAAGATTAAGATCATTAGATTATAGCCAATCTTACCTGTTTTCACTGAGTGCAAGAATTAGGTCTCC